AGAAAAAACTCCTAACTAACTCATTACAAAAATATATTGATAACCTTCTAAGAAATTATCTAAGAATTACTGGGTGTTGACTAATTCCCAGAGTATTGTAGGAAAGACAATGCTATTGTCATAGAATTTATAGATCTCAAAAAAATTTTGTCTACAGTAAAACTCAAAGCTGCCACACTTTCTTAAACAGTTAACCTAAACACTGTCTTTATAAAGTCAACCAATATTGAAAAAATATAATCATAATTAAATTCTTCTACTTTTACAAGTTTCAAAAATACGCAGTATATAACGTCAATTAGAGAGCTCACTAATACAATAGTAGTATTGTATTAGTAGGCAAAGCTAAAGCAAACACTTGAATAACACACTAATGTTCAAGCTTAAAATAATGCCAGACATTAAGGAAACTAAAAAGACAAACCAGATATACAATCATTAATCAAGAAAAGGAGTAGCCTCTTAAGCAAAGGAAATGAGTTTAATAGGGAGAGGCTCTTCAACAAACAGTATCAGCAAAATATCCTACTAAAGCATATGCACCCAGGGGGTGGGATCTTTTTTATACTTCACTGAGTCCTATACATGAGGAAGGAAGATGTGGCAATCTGCTTCCACAAAGATTTACCACCTCGGAAACCCAAAGGAGGTTGTTATAAGTCAGAATTGACTCAATGGGAGTGAGTTTGGATCTTTGTTTGGTCAAGTCCTATACATCATGAATATTTAATCTGTGAATAAACATCAAATAGAGTTTCTCATTGCCGAATGGTCTACTCATTCTTTTGTACATGATTATTTAAACAAAGACGAAAGTTATATTAACTCCGTAGGGAGAATGAACCTGGGAAGTTAGATTTGATGTATAAACAAAACCCAACCCACTACCATCAAGTTGATTCCGACTCACAACGAACCCACTGACTTTTGGAGGTGGTAAATCTTTACAGAAGTAGATTGCCCAGTTTTCCTCCTGAGGAGTGGCTGGTGAGTTTGAACCACCAACCTTACGGTTAGCAGCCAAATGCCTTAGCCACCAGAGCAGTATGTATGAAATTCTATCTCATGTAAATATTTCCAGAATGTTGATATTCAATATTAACTCATTTTTAGGAATTGCAGGGATGAGCTACAGGTAAAACAGATTATATTCACAATAAAATCTGAAGTATTCACATTAAGGAAAGTGTAAAAGTGACTTTATTTGAAAGATATTTCCAATTGCAATTATGGGAGGCCTCAAAACATATGGTAAGGTCTTTAAAAACAGGTAAGACTCTAAAATCTGAAAGAACTATATTTTGAAAATACTTGTAGCCTTGAGTTTGTATTAGAAGTATGGTAAGAGCAAGGGTGTTTTATTTTTCACTTTTTTTTTGTCTTTTAGTTAAGATAAATTATGACATTATTACTTAAACATTCGTAATATCATAACAAAAATCTGCTATAGCATCTAACACACTTCTTATAATGCCTAGCTTATAGTGGGTGCTCATTAAAAAGAAAGAGGCAAAGTCACTGCTTTGAAACTCTAAGTCTAGATAACAGTATAACATAGAACTTATACTATCTCAAAGAATATTTGGTATTAAAAAGTACTTCAAATTTCAATATCGAAGTCAATGTAAAAGCAAGAGTCACTTTTTAAATTCTTATAAAATGACTTTGCTTTGAGGACTTCTGGAAAGATGGAGGAATAGCCAGACAAGCAACACAGACCCTCCTCAATAAAGAAAAGAAAAACCAATTGACAGAGATACAGAAGATAATCCTGAAGCCCTGAGCTTTTTAAGGAACAATACAGAAATGGATAATGGCATCAACTAGTGGAAAAACCTGAACGAAAACAGGACCTAAGAATAGGCTCTGTTTGCCAAGGTCGGCAGGAACATATGAGAGGCTGACAACAGGAAAAATGACAGGTGGTGAGTGTATAAGTGCTGTCGACTAGTGAATAGAGGAGCACAGCACAGTACTCTTGCGTAGATAACATACAAAGAAAACAAAAACCATGGGCAAGTCACTCCAACATACAATCACCAATTAAATATAAACACAAAAACCTCATAATGCCTCGGAGACAACAGAGCATCACAGTCCACACTAAGAAGCAAGATAAAGCAGAAGAAACAAGGGACCAGGATACAGTCTCAAAATACATCCCTGAGGAAGATGCAGCTTTGGAACTCCCTAATAAGGAATTAAAAAGAATTATATTTA